CATCATTAATCTTCCAACCAGGGTTATGGCAAGTGTAATCATTCCTATTTTGTTTCTGTAAAGAAAAGGACATTGACAGATTAACTGGTGTTTTCACAGGACCCCCAAGTCCTGCATTCTGAAATAGGAAATCAGTTTGCCTGCCTCATGCATACTAGTTTGTCAGACAGGGGAGGCATTTTAAGACATGATGGAAAGCATGTGGAGGTATTGTAATTATTCAACATTAATCCCTACACTGCCAGCACTTGGGAGGTAATGGCACATAAATTTAATTAGTATGTAGAGAACATCAATTTTCTCCCAAAGGAAGAAAGAAAATTCTCTAACATCCTGTACTCTTCAATCTGTCAACTGCCTTGAGGAATAGCTCTTGAGGTAGAGGTCTGAATCTTGAACTTGCCATTGCCAATCCCTTTATCAAACATGCCATGCTCATCTCACGTCTTGTAGGGCTGAAGTTCTTTTCTGGTTGTCTTGTCTCCCCAAATCCTGAGATTCCTAAACTTATATTTCTAGTGCCACTCCTTGTCCCCATAATACCATCATTCTGATCGAGAACAAATTGCTCTAAAAATATCCAACATTACCCCCAAATTCTTATTATTTTAAAAAGTGTCTATTGAATGCCTGAAAGTTTTTATATGGCATTAGATCCAAAATAAGGTCAGGTAAGTAAGCAGGTTCTGGCTTTTTGCAACTTACACTCTTAAACAGACAATTCAAGTATTGAAAAATTTACAGGGTAGCTAGACATCTTTCACTGAACTTCATATATTTGTTTTAGTAGTCAGCAATCATAATGGAAAAGAAGTATTGGGAAAATCAGAATAATTTAAGAGTTAGCAGAGTGAAATTGTTAAGAGCTCACACTATGAAGTCAAACCAAATAGGGTTCAAATTCTAGTTCTGTAATAATGGCTACTCAATCTCTGGAAACTTGTTTCTTCATCTGTAAAATAGAAATAATAGCAGGATATAACTATAGGTTATTGGTGTGGGGATTATGTGAGGTGACACATATGTGATTCTTAAGAGTGCCTGTTCTTAATTATTATTAGTCATTATTAACTCTGCTGGCTTATAAATTCCAAAAAGGAAGTGTTTGTGTCATTATAATAATAAATATTATTGAAATCATCTTGTAATAATTAAGCAAATTGTCCAAGGCCACTCGCCTAAAAAGTGGTAGAGACAGGATTTGAACCCTGGCTAGCCCAATCCAGAGTTTGGCCAATCACTATCCTTGGAGTATTGAACATGGAATAGGTGTTCAATAGAAATCTGTTAAATGAATGAATCCTTTTATCCCAAATAAACCAACCACCAATAGCAAGGGCAACTAGGAGAATTTGAAACAAGGTAAAAATTTTACAAAAGCTTTAAGAGGATTTGACCAGTCTTTTCATATAACAGGAGCAATTGTAATTACTGATCATGGTGATTCATTCCTAAGCATAAAGACAAAGCCCTGAGTCAAAAAGATCACATTTCTTCACCTGTGGCCCCCAGGGAAAAAGTGGTTACTTGTAGAATTTTTCACAATTGCAAACAGGGATTTTCAAGGCCACCTGCCTAACCTCACCTGTCTAATCTCTCTCTGCACTTTCCTTGTAGACCCACTGAAATAAAATGATGGCCAAATTGCAAGCTCTTTTGGAAGAAGGCTAATTTTTTCTCTGCTCTCCGCATTGTGCCAGCACAAACACTTTGTTTACTAGATAGATAACTCATTGTCGATTGATAAGCTTCCTCTTGGTTTCTCTTAGAGGTCTTTCAATCCCACTACTCAGGTCACCCATTTTCAGGTCACGATTTGCATCCTGGTTCCTCATTCACAGCACTGGTTAGACAGTATAGCCTTTGGTAATTAAGAGTAAAAGGAAAGAAATTACTCATATTCCAATGAGTTTATAATCTAAGCAGGGGCCATCTCAAGCAATACCTTCAAACTAGCAACAATCCATGTGGAAAGAGTGTAACTGAGTGGCCGTGGAGTCAGATTGTGTGGGATCTCATCCTGAGTCCATCAGTTTCTGTGATCTTGGGCAAATTGCTTCACTTCGGTTACTCTCTGCCTCAATTTGTTTCTCTGTAAAGAAAAACGATGCTGACTTGCAAGGTATGCCAGGGGCTTTACAGTGTCTGCCACATAATAACTGCTCAAGAAATATTAGCTATTAAACCTTGAGGCTCATGTAGCCTAGAGCCTGCCACCATCTGATGCATATGTACCCCTCCAGACTAAGACGACAAGTAATGAAGGCCTCAAAGGACCTCTGTGTCCTGGGGTACCTGGCATATAAAGTACCTGGCAGGGGTAAATTACTTGGATTTGACATGGGACCCAAAAAGAACATCTTCAGGTTTGATTCTATAAACATGTATCGTCTCCCACAAGATTACAAGCTCTTGGTCTCTGACTTCAATAATTTGTTTAGTTACAATTCTGAAAATAAAACTTTTAGGAGTGAAAAAGCAGGTTCACTCATGTGTGTTGGTGACGGTCAAGAAGAGAGATGAATTTTTTTGATCTATCAGGAAGATCTCAAGGGAGACGTGTGGGAATCTCAAGAGACTTCTCATTGTGAAGAGCAAATTTCTTATTGCTGAGAGGTAAGAGTTGAAGCTACAGAACATAGAACACAGGAAGATGGACATAACAAAGCCAAAGGGAGGAAAATGATCGGGGCATGGAGGATGGCTTGTGTCCAATGCTACAGAGGAAGAAAACTGGGGACTGGAAAGTGCCACTCAATTTAGCAATTAGGATATCGGTGATAAGTGTTTAATAGTTTAGTGAGAGTAGCTTTAATTGAAGTTACATTTTAAGGAGTTGTGTAGGTGGTGAAAATTGGAAACTGTCAGCTTTCAGTAAAAGATGCCAAAAGGAAAAGGAAGAATAATTTGACATGTCAAAAGACTATAAATGCCTAAACACATTTAAGCAATCGGGGTGGGGTGAGGGGAGCAGGGACAGAAACCTTGTCCTACTCATTTCCATATCCCCACCTCCTGGCCTGAGACCTGCTTAGTAAATGTTTATTGAATATGCGGATCTTAATTAATTTAATCCACACTTAATCTACTACACATAAAATATACTTAGCATGTAGGATGTGAGGGCGATCTGGCTGCGACATCTGTCACCCCATTGATCGCCAGGGTTGATTCGGCTGATCTGGCTGGCTAGGCGGGTGTCCCCCTCCTCCCTCACCGATCCATGTGCGTCCCTCCCGAAGCTGCGCGCTCGGTCGAAGAGGACGACCTTCCCCCCCGAGGAGAGGACCGGTCTTCGGTCAAGGGTATACGAGTAGCTGCGCTCCCCTGCTAGAACCTCCAAACAAGCTCTCAAGGTCCATAAAATATACTTAGCATGTAATAATTTTTTTTTTTTACAATGGTAATCTGTCTGTAACCAGAATCATTCTTTAGAAATAAGCGTTTACATGTTGTTGGAAGTGGTTGAGGAGGTAAGGAGTGCTCCTGCAATAGGACTGGCTCGGAAGACATGGACTTCCGTAACTGTTGGGGCCACCTGTGTAGAAATGCTAGACAATAACCACTGGTGAGGAAGTAGTAAATGACAATGGCACTCAGCTGTTTCCAAAGTATTAACTGATATGTTTCCTTTCAGTCAATGGAGAACTGTCCCAGACTCCTGATCACCGCCACCACCACAGGGCTGCTTCTTCCCTGCGCCACAGAATGCAACACAGGTGACCTCTGGGGACTCACCGATGGCTAAAGTGCACTGAACTTCTGCTCAGAGAGTAACGGCCAATGGCTTAGCGAGCAAAGGCTAATAAACTAGAACCACTGCAAACATGGAAAGACTATTAAGATGCTCGTTCCGAACCATACTGACAAGTGGCAGCTATTATTCAAGACTTCTTTGAGCCTCAGCTTACATAGCAGTTCTTCAGAGAGGACCAAGAATAGAAGCTTTTCTTGGAGGTGCTCTATGGACTGGACACCTTGCAACTTTCTACCTTTTAAAGGACTATGTCTACTCTGAAGGGCATATTTTAAAAATAAAATCCATATGACATAACCCTGTGGAAGTCCACATTATTGTAGAGGTAAAGAAACTCTGGTAGAGATCAGACAGACAGCAAAACACGAATGCCTTGGAGGCTCCCAGGATTCCCTGTGAGGGTTCCCACCTCCTCCTCTTGCACGTCGACAGCCTTTGACACCTTTTCAAGCATCGTTCTGGCCCTGAGTTTGCCTTTCTCCTTTTCCCAGTTGCTTTCACAATCACATTATCAAATCACAAAACAAGTGCAGCCTTTCAATATTGCACCCACGAATGCAGCTTTCAGCATGACGGGACTTGGAAATACTGGCAATTTGATGTTGGGAAAAGGAGAGCAGAGTGTTCTTGTAACTCATGAGGAGAATAATTCAAGTCTTTGCCTTTGAAACCAAAACATCAGGGAGCTATTTCTAAATGAGAGAGGTCCACATTTCCCCAACAGAATTCTCTTTCAGAGACATTGCTGAGAGAGGTAACAGTTGAAGCTATAGAACAGAGAACACAGAAAGATGGACATAATAACATAATAAAAGCCAAAGGGAAGAAAATGATTGAGGCATGGCGGGGGTGAGGGGGATGGGGGTGGGTGGGGGTCGGGGGGCTCAAAGAGACAACACAGATAACCTAAACAGTTAATTCAAAGTGGTGGTTAAAATAGTGATTACTATTGTGCTTTCCAGTTTTCTAGTTAACATTAACAAAGGATGCTTAACATGTTCTAAGTGTAAGTCTGGTTATATTCCAATATTTATATATGAATCTAACAAGCTATTAGAGTGATTAACTTTATAAAGCACATGAACTTGGTCATCTGTGAGAAATGCACCAATTTCCCATAGTGACATACAATCACACAAAGTATTTTCTGCTTCTTCCCCCTCCCCTCAAGTTCTTCATATGCATCCGGTGAGCTATTGGACTCCATTTGCACTTCTTGAAAAACATGAAATTCACCCTTTGATGGAAGACACTCATTTCCATGTTTTATTGCATCTGATTACAATGAAAATGTCTGCTGGGGCTTTCAGACTGGGGTAATATTAGAATAACAGTATCCGTGCCATATGGAAGGAATAACAATATTCTTTCAGTTCTGCGGGGATCTCTTTTTAGCCCCTGGTGGAAGTCAGCTTATGTAAAAATGCTTTTGGAACAGAAGGCGTGGAAGGACGCACTGTATTCCCAGCTGCCAGCCAAATCCGCAGTTCGGCCCCCAGCGTTTGTTCACCTTCTGGAAGCGAGTACTCTGGAAGCCAGACTCTTGGCTTTGGTGGATGCCACTCCAGCACCTCTGCCTTGCCAGCCACGGTGGTAACAGATGAGCTCTAAACATACATGCTTTCAATGATAAATATAACCAAGTAGTTTAAAGCAAGACCTATTTCTTTTGTTGCTGTTGAGTAAGACGAGAGGAAGGACTTTGCAGTAAAATCACGAGTAGATCTGTGAAGGTTTCTGTGTGTGGAGAAGGACAGACACATGTTAGTTTTCCCAAGTCCAGGGTTTCACTACAATCTGCTTGTAGACACTGCTACTCAATTTGACAAAACCTCTACAGAGCACAGCCAACCAGCTGCATGGCCACGCCTTTGCTCTTCACATGCTCACAGGCGGTGATCTCACTCCAGCTCACAGGGCTTTGGCCCTTCATCGCGGCTGCCCTAGACCAGGCCAGCAGTCTTCCCACATTGTCCTACCTCTTCTGTTCCCTCCTGTGCTCCACAGCCTTTCAGCAGGGGCCATACATGCTCTCACCTCAACAGTTCCTAACCTCACTTCAAATGTTCTCATATCTGAAAGAATTCCCAATTGTTTCCCCTACAGGAGACCTTCAATAAGACACTGTAATGGATCTTTTAGGTTTTGTTATGTTGCCATTTATTTAATGAAAATTTACCAAAGGAAAAAAAATTTCCCCACAGGGCTAACCTAAAGCAGCTAATATTACCTTTCCATCTCTCCTGCTGGAAACTTGGCCCTGGGATACTGCAAGCCCACACCTGTCCTGCACATCCTGAAACTGTGCATGTAGACAAAACAGAACATTAGATAAGGGCACACATTATGTGCCCTGAAATATTGCTTGCAACCCTTTTTTTAAAAAAATTAAAAACTTACTTATAATTAAACGGATAAGGTAACAGCCTCCAGTAGTTTCTAGATACCATTTAGTAGCAACTGGAAAAGCAGAAACAGATAAACACTTCCATATACCAAGAACCACTGTTTCTTGACATTTTGAGTACTTTGGCAAAACTGTGTCTCGGAAATCACAATTCATACCTGTTAAACACTTTTGAGAAATCAATTTTCTGATTTGTTTATAAAAAGTTAGTATTTTCAAAGCAAAATGCGTTTGAGATTCTTGCTTTCTGACTAATTAGTATGTAACCAGGAGAGGCCTCTGAGTTTGTCAGAATTTGCACAATGAAGTTCACTCTGCCAAATGAGTGACAACGGAGACATGTGTTTAAAAAAAAATTACCTCCAGGTTGGGAATTTCAAAATATTCTTTCCATTTGATTTCTCAAGTCCACATTCTGAACCCAGATTAAGAGCAGAGGTTCCTAACCTTCAATTTAGATTAATAAAGACTTATGAGAATTTGACAAAAGCCAGGAATCATCTTTTATCTCTAAGAAAAATGCACATAACCATTGCTTTGCATATACTGGGGAAAAGCTTAGCTCCTTGAAATCTGCGGTTAGGAAGTCTACAACCAGAATCTTAAAGGATTTGTGCCTCTTATACCAGCCAGCTCAGCTGCCTCCATAGCAGAGGAGGAACATAAAGGGTTCCTGGCAACACGGGGCTCAGCGAAGGCAGGTCCCTTACCTCCAAAGCCAAACCTTCCCATCAGGCTTCCCAAGTCACCTCGTGACAGGAGAGAGTTCTACGATGGACAGCCCTCCCAGAACACAGCTCAGACTGGTGGTGATCTTAAACTCGCCCGTGGTGGGTTCAGTTGGACATAGTCTTGTTAGTATTCATGACAATTACCATTTTGTTGAGGGCATTACTGTGCCGGGAGCTCTGTGAGGCATTTCATACATTTTTATTTCATCTGACCACCAGAATACCCCCATATTGGGTTATATTATTACCCTCACCTTATCAATGTTTAAGTGCCTTCGTTAAAGTCACATGGCTCAATTACTCAGAGTAGGGGATTCAAACGTCTATCTGTAGAATTCTGAGGCCAGTGTGTCTGAAGCAAATGTTTTATATAACTTGAAGCTACTACGAATCTAATTTGACATCATAAATATACATAGGTCACTATTTTTAACCCTGTGGCCAAGGGTCAGGATTTGCCAGCTGGTCATGTTCTCTTCTGGGGCCAACTCTCCAGCATGGTCTAATCCCAGCAAATACCTGAACAGTGTTGACTTCTGAAAAAACTCTTAGTGCCTCAGCAGTGACATTCACATGTCCTAATCGCTAACGCAAGTGGGTAAGCCTGGGTGGAAACTGAGCCAAGCACCATACGATGAACAGTGTTTGCTCTGCAATGCATGGAGAAAGGACTTGTTTAAAATTATGGGGCTTGGTGACATTTTTAGCCTTTATGATGGGATATTTTGACAAAATAATACAATGAATCCCAGCTTTAGGAATTACCAACTCATGGCCAATGTTGTTTCATTTAAACGACGACTCACTCCTTCCTCCCTATCTTCATATTATTCTTATTCCTATAGTAGCCTGACATCATATAATTTTATCCATAAATAAGGACATACTTAATGAAGTTCACACTAGGCAGTAGTTACGGCTAGTTTGTTTCATTGCCAGAGTCTTGGTGGTAATTATTGCATGGACTGTGGTCGATGCCATGAGTAAGTAATGCTACAGGATGTCATAAAGAAAAAACTACTCAAGATAGTGAAATACCAGCAATCTACCAGCTCTACACATTTTTTAAAAACCTTATTTTTCATCCTGCTGTGACTGTGGAAAGTGCATTTCTTTGTTTCCTGTGTTCTACACAGCATGGCTGGAAGAGTTACGTAAAATAATACTTGTCAAAACCTCGTGCAACTAAAAGGAATTATTGCTTATCACCCCACAAGTTATGTTGCTTTTGACTTGATATACAATTAGTACCTGGATGTCTCCCCTTAGTGAACCTTGCAGACCTCCTTTCTTATTCTATCCTTTGGGCTTTTGAAAGCTCAGTTTATAGAGATTATACAGCCGTGGGCAAACTACGGCCCACAGGCCGGATATGGCCCGTTCGGCTGTTCTATCCGGCCCGCAGAGCAGAAAGAGCGGAGGGTTCTCTTGCTCTCCCCTCCGCTCCTTCACCAGCAACAGTGTTAACATGTATTAGTTCACACAAACACTCCATCCATGCTTTTGTTCCGGCCCTCCGGTCCAGTTTAAGAACCCATTGTGGCCCTCGAGTCAAAAAGTTTGCCCACCCCTGGATTATAACATCCTGAGAAATAGTTGGTAATAAATACAAAATATTTATAAAAACAAGAGCCTTGCTGCTGTAGTCACAGGTGACGTTACCAGCATTGTTCCCCCACAGGTGTTGCGACCTCTCTGGGGCCCCACGCCCTGAGCCAGCCTGAGCCCTGACTGACCTCGGCATCTCCTGTCCCACTGGAGCTGCCGCAGACACGCCTCCTGTCGCTGCACCTGTCTTCAACAGTATGGAAAGACACTGTTCAAAATCCCTGGCAAGATCACCCTCTGCTTTAAATACGAATGTTATATATATAAGCTTTCCGATGGAAAATATTTACAGAACCACATTTGATTGCAGAATATTTCTCAGGCTCGGCTCGATTTAGTCAAAGCTGGGGTGGATTAAGTAACCAGGCAGGAGGAGTCTGGCATTGTAAACATTAGGTTCCCAAACTTTTAACATTGCCTTGGCCACTTAGAATCAGTGATGATGGCAGCATCAAATTATCACAGATCTGAACAACAGACTCTAAAAATGCTGCATCCCATAAAATAACAGGACTTCTGACTGGAGATATCCCTTGATTTTATTTTTTTAAACCTTTATAAAAAAGAAATGACAAGGCTAGAGAATAAACCAACTTTATTTTATAACAGTATTACAGAAAGCAAAATATCATTTAATACAACTTGAAGCTGCTATAGATCTAATCTGGCATCATAACTATACATCAGGTCAAAAGCAAAGGGAAAATGTTCCATACAGTTAATAAGTCCCTATCAGATCTCTGGTGTCAGCTTCAAACAGTGTAGTTTTCTGATGCCCATCCAAACACCACCACAGCCCTGCCCACTCCTCTCCCCTGTGCCCTCAAACCTGTGTGAATCCCACTATCTGAGAGAGACAGACCTGCTCAATAACAAAAGGTCAGTTTCACATGTACACAAGGAGGTTTAATACAAAGCAAGTGTTCTACACAAATGTCCAAATAATGGAAAGTACTGAAATTTGGACATGTTAAGAAAGAAAGCACTAATAAGGTTTTAAGCTGCCCGAATACTTCAGTAGGAGGGAAGACACCGTTGCCTCTTGCTCCTCCCTCCTGTTTCTGGAATGCTGCCGAAGAGCGTGTCTGAGAGGCATTGGCACTGCGGTGCAGCGGGGTCTCCGCACACAGCACGTGGTCAGTGAGCTGCTGCATAATTCTCCAGTCTGGAGTCTCTGACTTTCTACTAACAGTAAAAAGTCACAGGACTGGAAAGTCAAAAGGGATCCCATAAAAGATATTCCCAATGAATTTCTAAAACATTAGAAAGTTTTTGAGATGTAAGAAATGCTTTTAATCTGTACTAATATTTCTCATACAGTGTATTTACTGCAATTTGAAAACTGTAAATATTTGCTGTAATTGGTGGGAGTTCAGTGGGAACAGGAAGGAGGAAAGACACTACCTAAGTTAGTCACAGCGTTTTCTTTCCGCACAACAGCACCTGTTCCAGTGAACAGCACCTCACCAGCCAGGCTGGCTTTGTTCACTATCATTGGATCATTTGAGTCATAAAAAGCAGGTAGTTGTACACAAAGTAAACAGGAAACAAAACAAAACTCCCTAATTAAAATAAAAAAGGAAGAAAGAACCAAGATTACTTAGGAGTGGTTATAAAACAAAACAATATATTAAAATGCGAGGGAACAGAGTAGACCAGAGCTGTTAAGGTAGGGTTTGTTGTTGGCATTTTAACACTTCAGGCTTCTGGTCATTGTTACCAGTCGTAAATTCGCAGGAGTAGTGGTGTGGCATTAAGACTTGAAAAGGTCAAAATTCTTCAGGTTCACAAAGTTGAATGTTGTTTAATAAATGGATTTCTAGGAGGAAAAGAGACAAGGCTTAAATATTCAAAGACAGAGGCTTTGAGGAAAAAAAGTGTAGGTAACATTCATAAAATTCCAAATCAAGGAAACCACAGTGACTATCTGCTTGGCTCCACAGTAAATGATGTTTGCCAGGAGCCATACATGAGACCCTATTCCACCCTTGAGGGCCTTAAAGTATCTTGAGAACTGACAAGCATATTAGAAACAACTGGCTAGTAAGAATAAACCAAAAGCAAGTAAATTATAAAACACAGGTAATTCACACAGTAAAAATATAAAAAAGAGAAACCAATATAGGTTTTAAAAGTAGATCCAAGTACAGAAGAAAAACAAGTCAATTTTGAATTGAACAGAAAGGGTACTTTATTTCAGGTGTGGAGAATGGAATGGAGGAAAGAGGCCCAGAAGTGAGAAAGTGCCGAGTATTACGATGGGTCTGCAGATGTACAGGAGGGTGGGCAAGAATGAATGTGAGGAACAGGACAGTGAAGAAATGGACATTACTGAAGCTAAGTAATGGCATGGTGAGTAACTGAAGATAAGTTAAAAAACATTAGGTACATGTTTTAATACCAGACCAAGAAATATGAACTTGAACTAACAGACAAAGAATAAATTCAGAAAGGGTATTCAATAAAAAGATCAACTGCCAATCTACTGCAATGATGCGGACTGGAGTGTGAGAGGAGGGACGACAGAGCAGAGCCGGGGCTGGCCAGTTCAAAGGGGGCATGAGAGGAGGCTGGGTGTGGCTCTCCTCTGGTTCTGAGGAAGGTCTGACATGGCCTGAGATTTACATTTTGACAACATCACTGTGGCTTCAGTATGATGAACAGACTAGAGGTGGAGGGGAGTGAAGACGGGAACACCAGTCTGGAGGCCACTCAGCAGCCCAGGCTGCGTGAGGAAGATGACACAGGTCAGGGATGGCTGCTGGAACCAAGGACCCAGACTACAGAAATCAGGTGGAAGAGACTAGAAAGGCAGTGCCAGAGAGTACTTTCAGGTTTGCAGACCTGAACCTCAAAAACAGAGGTAGAATAAGAGGCTTACAGCCTGGGTGAGGTCTTAGAGCTAGAGATAAGGATTTGTCAGCACAAAGGAACAAGTGAAACCAATAGATGGAATTAGTCTCATGTAAGTATAACAGAAAAATGAGAGAAAGGAGTCTTGGGAGCCCACAATGAAAGGTAAGTAGGTCGGAGAGGGGACTAAAATAGGAATGGACAGGGAGGCAGACAAAAAATAAGGATGGTGCATTGTCCCTGAAAGAGAGAGTTTTAAGAAGACAGCTTTTCATTTTGTATTTCAGCTTGATTGTAAGTTTTGGTAAAACATAGGTGATTACAGAGGATGGTCGAGAGGTAATTAAGGACCTTTCCAAGACACACTGGTCCCAAATTAAGTCCTGTTTTAATGAAAAATCTCCCCACTGTTTAGATGTATCACAGGTATTATAGCCTCTGATTATTCAGGACAGATTGATTAATCAAATTCATTTTATTCCACCCCGTTGTCTGCTTTGGGCTATTTCATTACTCATTAGTACTTGTGCTTGATTCTAGGCAGTGAAAAATCAATGGAGAAAACACAAAGTTGTCTTTTTTAGGTTAGTAATTATGGGGGGTGGTGAGGAGGGAATGGATAAAACTACCCATTGGATTTGGAAGTTATTTGTGACCTTCAGTCACACTATCTAGCTATCTATTCTTTTTCTTTATGGGCTGTTAGCTATCTCTGTTTTCTTTGCTTAGTAAACATGCATCGTTGTTGAACTCAGCTGCCACTGTGCCTAGCTTATGATATGGAAAATGAACCCTTGAGGTTACAGTGCCTGGAAACCTACAGAGAGAACGAGGTTGAGGATTCTGTTCTCCATTTCCTTTAGGCTCCATGTCACTGAATATGTTTTCACCAAAAATTAAAATTTGAATTTTTAAAATGAAGTGAAAATTAAACTTGTTTAAAAGTCATTAAATAAACAGAAATCAAGGAGTATGTAGGAATTGAATGAAAGAGATCTTGATTTCAAAGAGCTTCAACATTTATTGAAATATATGTAGAGAAAAAGACATAGTCACCCATGTAAAGTCAAGTATCATTTACTCTCATTTATTCATAATCAAACCACTAGAAAGTAAAATAAATCAATTTTTCTGAGAAATAATATAAATGATCATCCAAATAGCTTTCAGAATCAAAAAATTATAGTTATTATAACTTACTGTTAAACACATTTTTCTTGTTCTTTTAAAAAGCAGTAAATTGAGTATAACTCTGAGTTAATTAGATATTCAATGTTTCAGAATCCCCAGTTCCTATTGTCCTAGATGAATAAGGAATAACTTATATGAATTTTTTTAATTTACATGTCCACTCATCTTTCTGACTGCTTTTTGCACTTGAACACATATAGAAATGTATTTCCAAGTAAACATCTAACATTTGAGCTGGGAAGAAGCAAAGATAAGGATGAAATAGCATTAGCCATTTTAATTTCCAGTTTTTTTGGCATGTAGCTGTGAGAAATAAAAACTTAATATTTGGCCATTCTTAAGACTACATTTGGGTCTAAATGATTTATCACATAGCCCAATCAAAGTGAAAACTAGCAACTGGTTCTTTATGTGCAAGCTGTAAAGTTTTAAGGATTCTTTTCTTTTTTTTAAAAGCTTAAATTCTGGAGAAACTAAGATGGCGGCATAGGTAAACACCGGGAAATTGCCGCCTCACACAACAATTGAAAATTACCGCAAAGGACAGAGCAAACATCATCCAGAACAACAGGAAGGCTGGCTGAGTGTAAATTCTACAACTAGAAGGAAAGAAAAGCACGCTGAGAGCCAGAGGAGCTGCAGAGGTGAAGTGCAGAGGTACAAGTGCAGAGGTACGGCCGGCTCGCGTGCGTGCGAGTAAAGGGGGTGGCACCTGAGGACGCGGCTGTCTTTTTGAATCACAAGCTCCCGACTGCTCTGAACTCCGGTTCTG